CGGCCGATTGCAGCCACGTGATTTTGGATTTCTGGTATTTTACTTATTAAGCCTGGAAGTATTTCTGCCGAGAGCCAGATAATTATGGGATTGGTTTCTGTGGCTCTGAAGCCATGGCCGTGCCAGAGAGTCGCTCGTGGTGGGCAACTCTTGACCTCGGTAGGGCGTGAAGGACGAGCCGGGAATGCCCCCCTTCCCATGAGGTTTCAGTCGCCCCGTCATGAAAGGCTCATACCTGGCTTTCCACAAAGCTCTGAGGCGGCTGCCATCTTGCTTTCCAGAGGGAAAAAGGCAGAAGGGAGCCAGAAGTCCCTCCAGACTTACCTAGTAAAATATCAGAAATCCAAAATCGCGCCACATCATATGGTTCTCATAACCAGCTAGAGAAAACAGATTATTTCACAGTGCCTTTTCAGCAATTCTGATTGTTGGGGGGGGGGGGGGGAATTCTAAACAAGAATGGTGCATCTTTTGTCGAAATAATGTAATCAAAGTAGAGAGAGAGTTAAGTAGAAATCATCTGCCTCACAGGCATTGGGAGGGGTGGGAGGGGGGTATATTGGGGTTCTTGGTGGTGAAAAATAAGTACTGGTGAAGGGAAAGGGGTTGATTGTTGTATGACCGAGACTTTATCTTGAAAGCTTTGTAACTTTTCCCACAGTGATTCAATAAATAAATAAAACAAACAAAAAAATGAAGTCAAACACAGAATCAATAGTTGCAGGGAATTTTTCACCCAGTTGGACAAATTCCATGGATTTTTTTAGGGGGGGTCACACCTGGTGTTGCACAAGGGTCACTCCTGGCTCTGCACTCAGGAATCACTCCTGGCAGTGCTCAGGGGACCACATAAGATGCTGGGAATCGAACCTGGATCGGCCGCGTGCAAGGCAAAGGCCCTACCCGCTGTGCTATTGCTCCAGCCCCTCCATGGATTTTAAAATCTTGCAAACAGTGCTCTGCAGCAAAAAAAAAAAAAATATGAGAGCAACCAGTGCTGGCGCAGATGCAGGGAGACTCGTTCATTGCCGGTGGAATGCTGACTGGCCCAGCACTTTGGAAAACTGTGTGGGCATTCCTTAAGAAACTAGAAATTGAGCTTCAATGCAACCTGGCAGTACCACTTCTGGGAATATATCCTGGGGGCCCAGAAACACACCGCAGGAACACCGTCTGCACTCCTGTGTTCACTGCAGCACTGTCACCGTAGCCCGAATCTGGAAACAACCTGAGTGCCCGAGAACAGACGGCTGGGTAAAGAAACTACGGCACATCTACACAGTGGAATACTATGCAGCCACTAACTAGGGAAAAGGAAGCTATGAGGTTTACCTATACAAGGATGGACATGGAATATATATATATATATATGTATATATATATATATATATGTTACCCTAGGACAGCAGAGACAAGGACTGGCCTCCTATGGTCGGAAACCTGAGAGAGCACTGAGAGGCGTTCCCCGAAGTGTGTGTGTGGGGGAAGCCGCCATGTCTGTGAGCAGCATCGGGTCCTGAGGGCCCAGACAGTGCAATGGCCGGGGTGGGCATGAACCAGCCTGGAGTTGCCCAGGGGGTCCCCGATGCCCCCTTCCCGTTTTAGTGCTTCTCCGGGCTGCATAACCCATGGGGGACGGTCATGTCGTTCACGTGTTGCTTTAAGTGAGAAAAATCCCACAGTGTTTGACTTCGTCATATCAAGATGCTCCAAGCAGGAAGGCATCCCCAGCGTGAATGAAAGAGCGGCCTGGACACGCTCAGGGAAGTGGGTCCGGTGGGGCTGGACATAGCCAGGGTGATTAGAGCACGCACCCAGCCGCCCCTCGGGGCCCCAGTACCACACCGGGGTCCATCACTCCCACCTCCAGCCCGTGTGCAATGTGGTGGGAAGGAGTGATGGTGGCGGGTGGCAGGATGTTAAATGTCATAAACAATTGTGACCAACTTTATAAAAGCACCGTCGCACTGTCCTCCCGTTGTTCATCAGTTTGCTCGAGCGGGCCCAGTAACGTCTCTATTGTGAGTCTTGTTGTTACTGTGTCTGGCGTATTGAATACGTCTCGGGGAGCTTGCCAAGCTTTGCCATGTGGGTGAGATGCTCTCGGTAGCTTGCCGGGCTCTCCGAGAGGGGCGGAGGAATCGAACCTGGCTCTGCCGGGCCAGCCGTGTGCAAGGCAAACGCTCTACTGCTGTGCTATTAGAAAACAAGATACTGTCCTCCCGTTGTTCGATTTGCTCTATCGAGCGGGCCCAGTAACGTCTCCATTTTGAGACTTCTTGTTACTGTGTTTGGCATTGCCGCACAGGCGAGATACTCTCGGTAGCTTGCCGGGCTCTCCGAGAGGGGCGGAGGAATTGAACCCAGCTCAGTAAGGCTGGCTGCGCACAGAAAACAAGATAAATTTTTAAAAATTAAAAAAATTAAAAATCTAAGAAAGAGAGAGTGAAAGAAAGGAAGCAAAGAAAGAAAGAAAGAAAGAAAGAAAGAAAGAAAGAAAGAAAGAAAGAAAAGGGGCACATGGATGTTGGCAGGATCACCACAGCAGGGGAGGGGCAGGTGAGGGAGGGGCAGGAACTGGTAACCCGAGAGGTTCTGCTGTGGAGGGGCGTGCTTGCAGGGGTGAGTGTGGTGGGGTCTTTGTGGGCCTCTGGGAGGGCCTGGCCTCCCCCTGGCCTTGCGGGCTCACGCTGCGCCTCGAGGGAAGGTTCCGCCCCCCCCCCCCCATCCTGGGCCCCGGGGCCGTGCCTTTGGTGTTGGCTGCCACGTCTTCCTCTGGAGTTTATTCCGGAAGGAGGCTGGGAAGGGGGGCCCAGTGTGCTCCCCGGGTGGGCCGAGAAGGGGTCTGAGTCTATACAGCTCACAAAGCCTCCCCCAAAACTGTTGCATGTAGCACCCTGCTAAGCTTCAGGGTGTCTTTGAGTAACAAAATCATGCTTTGCTTTGCTTTTTTTTTTTTCCTTGATTTTTGGGTCACACCCGGCGATGCTCAGGGGTTACTCCTGGCTCACGCACTCAGGAATTACTCCTGGCGGTGCTCAGGGGACCCTATGGGATGCTGGGAATCGAACCCGGGTCAGCCAGGTGCAAGGCAAACGCCCTACCCGCTGTGCTGTTGCTCCATGCTTTTATTTTAAAAAGGAAAACAGTGTTGGATGAATAGAACAGTCATTTGCAGAAAGCAGAATTTCGGAGAGTGAGTAAATTGTCTCTCCGTTATTTTCTCGACGCTTAACTGGCGAGCTGGAAGCGGTGTCATGCTTCATTCAGTGCCGGGAATGATGAGCATTGATTAGTAATAAATCCCTGATAATAAACGGTGCTGCCTGGCCCTGACCAGACACAAGGGTACCTCCAGGGTCGTCTTAGAATAGTCACACCAAGGTTAGACTTGGCTTGAATATAATCATTTCCACACATTTCTCTATGCTTTTGGCTTTGTGGCCGTGTATTTGATTGACGTCTGTCTGGCCGGAAACGCGGCGTAAGTCTAAGACAGACACATTGGTCCCACGCGTCTCTCTGTTCCTAGCTTGGATGATGAGGGTCCGAGAAGGCCTGGGGTGTGGTGAGTGCTCGCCACCCGCCTGGTGTCTCCTTAACAGGTTGATGCCACGTGACCATCGTGCTCCAGCCATCACAGACACGGTGTCTCTCCATGAACCACCCCGTGGCCCAGTGGCGGGTGGGCCCAGATCCACAGACGTCACGAGGGGCCTCGGCGTGCCCACCCGTCACTGCCACAGACGTGTTCTCGGCCATCCCGGGGGCTGAGGGCCCATCCATGCTCAGGGGATCATGATGTCCCAACCACGGCCACCCCCAGGGATGCCCAAAGCTCCGGCTGCCTTGGGGACTCCCGAAGGCTCGGATCTGACGGGAGTCCTGGTCGTTTTCCCAACTTGTCCCAGATTTGGAGACAAAAGTCTGACGGGGGCCAAGCTCAGCTGCTCAGGGGAAGCTGGACAGGACCCGGAAATGAAGTGACCACGACCCATCACTCCGGTGCACCCAGCCCCGAAGGCAGAGGGGCCTCAGCCTCCTGGCTGGGGCGCATGTGGGTGGATGTGGGGTGTGGGCGTCTCCACCGCGGGGACAGCCGAGTGGCCGTTTGTCCAGCCAGCACAGAGATGCTTGCCTCTCTAGCGGGAGGAGGTGGGGACCCCGGGCCGGGATGGCGCCCCCACCAGGAGGTCCCTGGAGAGGGCGGCGACAGGGACCGGGTGGGTGAGCCAGGCTGAGCACCCTGGGGTGCTGCCTGCTGTCGGGTGCTCGCCGAGTCCAGCTCTCCCTCTGCTGACCGTTCCTGCTGTGAGCTCAGGGTCGGTCTGGGACCTGAGGACAGTCCACAGCATGGCCAGTGTGGGTTGTGAACAGCAGCAGGGCCGGGACGGTGGCACAGCGGGAGGGCCTGGGCCTTGCACGTGGCGACCCGGGTTCGATCCCCAGCACCCATATGGTCCGGAGCCCTGTCAGGAGTGACCCCTGAGAGCACAGGGTCAGGAGTCAGCCCTGAGCACTGCCAGATGTGGCCCAAGAACCAGAAACTAAAAGAGTAGATTGGGGCTGGAGAGAGAGCACAGCGGGGAGGGCGTTTGCCTGGCACGCGGCCGACCCGGGTTCGATTCCCAGCATCCCATGTGGTCCCCCAAGCACCGCCAGGAGTGATTCCTGAGTGCATGAGCCAGGAGCAAGCCCTGAGCATCACTGGGTGTGACCCGAAAAAGCCAAAAAAGGAAAAAGAGTAAATAAATAACAGCAGATGCCCGTGGGCCGGCTGGGTCCTCTGATTGGCTTCCGGGGCTCCCAGGCCGTGGACAGGCCCCTCCCTCGGGGACACACCCCTGGGGCCTCAGCTAACCGGGCTGGGGAGTTCAATGGTCAGAACAGGCATGTGGGAGTCGGGCCTGCGGGGGCTCAGCTGGGTCCCGGGGACTGACCCGCCCCCGCCCGTCCCAGCCCCGGTGGCAGCTGTTCTCTGACTCTGCTTTCTCTCCTAGCGGAAGACAACAGCCTGTCTCAGAAGAAGAAGGTCACAGTGGAGGACCTCTTCAGCGGCGACTTCAAGGTCCACGACCCCGAGGCCCAGTGGATCAGCGGTGAGTCACTGGGGGTCAGCTGGGGTCCCACCCCCTCACCATCCTCCCCCCACTTCTTTCTCCCCTTTTCTCCTCTTGGCGAGCACAGAAGTGCCCACCAGGATCCTTCTAGAACGCCGCCAGACGGACAGCGGGAGCCAGGGCACCGCGGCAGAAAGATCCGTTTTCCCTCCTGAGCTTCAGGCTGGAGAAGTCTGGTGGTGCTTTTGCGGGGAGGAAGGGGCATTTTTTTTCCCAACCTGCCGTGGATCGATTGACAGCCGCTCTGAGCCTCTGTGTTCTGATCAGCTGCACACGGTGGCGATGTCGGAGTCCCTGTCACGGTCACTGTGCTCTCACGTAAGCTCTGCTCAGCTCCCTTAATCTCCATAGGCCTGAGCCACACTGAAAAAAAGAGCTTCAAGAAATTTCTAAAAAGGGGCGATTCCCCTCGGAGGGGGGACCATGGTTCTGTTCGTGCACATTCGGCGCGAAGCTGAACAGATGCGTTTTGTGTTGAATGTCGGAGTCAGCAGCCTAGAGCTGATATTCGTTATCAGGGGGAAGTGCTTGAGAGAAGCTGAAAGTCTCTGCCCGTTTTCACAGTAGAGACGTCACTGGTAGCAGGTGCCACCAATTTCTGAGGGGTTGAGGCTGGCCTCCCTGGCTCCTGGGAGCACACGACCCTCCTGCCCCCGCTCCCGTCAGTGCTCACACACGCACACACGCACACACGTACACATGCATACATGCACACAAACACTTGTGTGCACACGTGTACACACATGTACACACACTTCAAGAGCATCGAAGAAATAGCTAAGAGGATGAAGAACCTCCGGCTCCAGGCACATCTCTTTGATTCCACTGTTCTTCCTGCATTAACATATGCCTCAGAGACCTGGGCCCTACACAAACAGGATGAGAACGCTATTCAGGTCTCCCAAAGAAGAATAGAAAGAACTATGCTTGGAATATCACGTTTCACTCAAATGAGAGAACGAATCCGGAGTTCTGACATCCGTCGACGATCAAGGATCAGGGACGCTGTCTCATTTGCCAAGGTGTCGAAAATCAGATGGGCTGGTCACGTAATGAGATTTAAAGACGACCGCTGGACTAGAGCTGTTACAGACTGGATTCCACGGGATGTCAAAAGGCCGCGTGGCCGCCCACCTACCAGATGGTCAGACTTCTTCGTCAAGATCATGAACGATCGGTTTGAGGCTCTTCATGTTCCTAGAGCGAACAGATGCCATTGGGCTACACTAGCACGCGACAGGGACGAATGGAGACGTTACTGGTGCCCGCTCGAGCAAATCGACGATTAACGGGAAGTCAAGTGATCACATACATGCACGCTTGAGGACGCAAACACTCATCAGAGCAAACCCAGGCGCACTAGAGACAACAGGGGTGCCCACAGCCTCCATATTGGGCAGCAGAGGTGCCGGGGGAGGGGGAGACCCCAGGATACGCTGCCCCCCTTCCAGGACCTGCTGTCCCTGGGGGCCTGGGCTGATGGCCGGAGGAGCTTGTGGCCTGGTCCCGCCAGGGCTCGTCCTGCAGCTGCCCCCACTCTCCCGGGGGGGCTGGCGGACGGGGAAGGACCCTGCTGGCCCCAGGGCCCCCTGGGTGCCCCCTGTGTGGCCGTGCCCGCCCCATCAGCCTGTCCTGTGAGCCCAGAAACACCCGTCAGTGGGTTGAGTGCTCGCTCGTCATCCAGATTGTTGGGTTTTCACCTTAACTTGGGGTGGAGACCCCCCCCATGCGCAGCCAGGCGTGTTTGCTGGCCGCGGGCGTCAGGAGGGGCGTCACTCCGCTCCCTCCGCTGCCAGCCCCGCCCACATTGCCTGCAGAGCTCGTGTTGGAGTGACGGCGGCCCCACTGGCAGCTCTCAGGCCATTCCACGCAAAGCCTGAGGACACGGTGGGGGGTCCTCCAGCCTGTACTTGCTGCCTGGGGAGGGGGGGGGGTCCTGCTGGGCGGCAGCAGGGGCGGCCCTCAGCACAGCACTAGCTCTGCCCGCCCACCCCAACCCTGCAGGATGTTCTCCCAGTCACCACCAGTTCCCACCCGGCCTCCTGCCCCAGGGCATGGGGGCCAGAGGCCAGCACACCCCACCTGCACGGCCAGGCCGGCTCACCCACAGTCTCGCACCCACCTCCCGGTTCGCCGTGCCACACCGTTAGTGTGTGGGCAGTCGCTTCCTTCATGCCGGGCCCTTGGAGGGCTGCCGTGCTGGGCGCTGCCCTCCCCTGGGAGCCAGGAGCTGACGGGGAGGGGAGAGGAAGGCGTACCCCGCCGTGTGCCGGGGTCTCTCTGGGAAGCCCCGTGTGGGCAGAGCCCGCCCGGCCCGCAGGAGCACCAAGGCCGAGCACTGCACCAGGAGTTCCGGGCTAAGGCAGGTGTTTTCCAGAGGGAGAATCCCTGGAGGGTCACAGACTCCACAAACATTCCGTACCGGCCCCGCGTGATCCGCCCAGGATGGTTCTGGACATTGTTTTTCTCTGAAATCCACCCTGGCGAACTTAACTTCTCTTCGGGGAAAAAGACCAGGAGGTGGGCCTCTGAACGGCCCTGCACAGAGTCCTTGTTCTCAGAATCTGAGCCGGCCAATCTCCCGTCTGGAAGGAAATGAATTAACTTCTGAGAAGCCGCGTGAGGATGTTCAGAACATTAAAGCTGCGAGAATTCACTCAATCTAATTAGCCTGACCCAAAAGGAGGCGCGCTTCCGCCCCGGGGACGCGGCCCGTTACCAGGAGTCACGGGTTGGTCCCGTGATTTCAGCATCTTCTCCGGCGGGACCCCTTGGGGCACATGGCCCGGCCTGACTGCGGAGTGACCCGCCCGCCTCACAGAGGGCAGGGGCTGAAGCTCGGGTCGTACCCACGCGGTCCCTGCGGTCACTGTAGAGCGGAGGGCGGACCTTCAGGCAGGACAGACTGAAAGAGGCCACGGCCACTCTGCTCTTCCCAGCGCCCAGACTGCGCTCCCCGGAGAGCTGCTGACCCCCACGCCCAGCGGCCCCCGGACAGCAGCCAAGCCCTCAGCATAGGCGATGGCGCCCAGAGACGACCAGGCCCATTTTCACTGGGGCCACATGTGTGAGGGCAGCGGGCAGGACCGCATCCCCCTTCCCAAGGCTGCGGGTGGTTGGGCCGACAGCATGGGCCGGTTGCCGCAGGCACGCCAGGAGCCTGCTGGCTGAGGGCGGCCCCCCTTGGACCCAGAAAGACCCCAGTGTGGCTTGTGGGCGAGGTTTAGCGCTCTGGGGTCCACCCACAGGGGAGACGCCCGGGGTCCCTCCTGGGAACAGGGTGAGGTGTGCAGACTCCTGCAGAGGGTCCGCCTGCCCGGGAGGGTGCGTGGCGGAGAACAGGAAGGCGGGGCGCTGCATTTCCACATGTCGCCCAGAGCAGGACCCTGAGTGGAGCCCCCTTGACTCTGCGTCCTGCTCTCACCCTCTCGTCCTGCACCCTGGCATAGCTGCCCCGGGGCCAGCAGGCAGCGGGCCGTGGCGGCGGGTCTCTGGGGCCGGGCTCATGGAAGGGTTTCCCGGCTCGGCTCAGAACTGATTTTTGCACAGTCCATGGCCAGGGCGTAGAGGACTTGGAGGAATGAGGAGGAGTCACTGTGCTGATTCCGCTGAAGGAGACCAGCCCCCGGGCCCAGGGCCTCACCTGCCAAGGAAGGGACATTCCCACCTGGCCACTTGGGCCCTGGGACCCTGCTCAGCACAGTGGGCCTTGGGGACCTGTCAGCCCAGTGAGCCCTGGGACCCTGGTCAGCACTCCGTCTCCTGCCCGGGGCACCCAGAGAGCAGCTTCCTCTCCCCCCTACCCCCCCCCTCCGTGTTGGCCCTGTGGCGGGCGGCTCTGTGGGAGCGGCCAGGCCCTGGGCCTCTCTGCACTCCAGGTCTGAGCTGAGGGCCTGATCCTGGCCCTGCCGTCCTCCCTGTGTCTCAGTGTCTCTGACAGCCCCACGGCCACCTCCTCCTGGCTGACCGCCTGGCTTCCAGGCCACTGGACACCCAGTTCCTGCCCCTGGTGCTACCCCACCACAAGGGGGCTTGATTTGTCAGCAAGGGGGACAGGTGGGTGCGGGGGTCTCCGTGGGAACCACGAGCCAAACCCGCATCCGAGGGCCAGGCTTTGCTGGGCAGGGAGCCCGAGCCGCCTGGGCTGGTGTCCCCAGCGTCTGAGAGGCCCGGACACGGGGCCCAGAGCACCTGCGGTTTCCGTCGGGCAGCGGGGGGCTGGCTCGGGGTTGGTTCTGCCCAAGGCCCCGGGAACTCCCCTCCCCTCTTCCTGCTCCGTGGGGGGACCCCACCCCGCCCTGGCCTGCCTGAGGTGGGTGTCTGCGCCTCTGCAGCTGCCCCGTCTAGCCGTCTCCCATGTGACCAGCGCTGCGGGCTGGAGTCGGGGACACGGCGGGACGGACGCCCCCTCTCGAGGCCCTGCCCGTGGCTCGTGGGGGGTGGGGGGGGACACATTCAGCGCGGCAATGTGAGCCGTCTGGTCAGGAGCAGCCCCAGAGCGTGGGCACAGCAAGAGTCCCACCCTCCTGCCCGGGTCCGGCCCCGCAGGCGGTCAGCACAGCCCCTGGGCATCCTTGGAAGAGCCACCCGGGTGCGGGCGTCAGTAGGGGAGCAGCGCCCCCTGGTGGCCACAGGTGCACACGGCAGCCACTGTGGGTGCAGACGGGGGTTCTGGCCGTCAGGCTGACCCATGGAGTGTGGACACAGACGATCAGCCCGCTAGCTGCAATCTCGTCCGCGGCTCCCGGCCCTGCTGCTCGGCACACGGGTGCCCGGCGTGGCCATGAGTGGGACTGAGCCGCCCTGCGGGGACGCAGCCACCCACCCCAGCCGGACGTCTGGGAAGGGCCTCCTGGAGTGGACGGGCCAGGGGACCTTTCAGGGAAGCCCAGGGAGGTCGTCAGAGCCTGCCCGCGGCCTCGCCTCCACCCTGACCCCACGTCCTGCCACCCCCGGCTGGCAGTGCCGCATTTCGGAAA